AGAAATAAGCCAAACATATTCGACAGCCGTTTGACTGCCGAATATACCTATATTCGGCAGTCAGTGACTGTCGAATATGTTTATATTCGGCAGTCAAACGGCTGTCGAATATGTGGGCAAAAAAGCTAAACATTTTCGGCAGCCAATTTGGCTGTCGAAAATATCTTAGTCACACAAAAAAAAAATTATTCCAAAATTTAGCATGATTATTCAACGAAAAATCATTACAACATTACCATTTAAATAATAAATTTAAGAGGAATAAAAAGAAAAATATTATCCAAATTAATAATATAAAAAACTAATCAACAAAAAATTTAATTTTCAAGCAATTTATCTCAAGAAAAGAACTTTATCTGCAAAAATATATATATAATATATTATACATTATAATACTTAAGGTTAACAAAAAAAATATTAAAACATTAATCAAATAAAATAAAAATGTACCTCAAAATATTTTTCTTTTGTGAGTTTAATATATAATCTGCAAAAAAAAAAAATATTTATTAGTAGATGCTTATGTATCTTATTAATATAATTAGATGATTAATAAAAAAGAATAAAGAAGAAACCTTAAAATTGATAAAAGAATTAATGCAGATGGAGGAGGATTATTTTAGCCATGAAATTACTTAAAAAATTTAAACAAAACTGGAAAGAAAGAAAGAAAATGAAAGAAGAAGAAGAAGAAGAAGAAGAAAGATAAAAGGAAAGGAAAATGAAAAGTAGAAAGGAAACGAAAGTGAGAAACAAAACTGGAAATCTTCAAAGAATGAAAAGAAGAGAAATTAATTAAGCAAAACTGGAAAGAAAGAAAGAAAATGAAAGAAGAAGAAGAAAGATAAAAGGAAAGGAAAATGAAAAGTAGAAGTAGAAAGGAAACGAAAGTGAGAAACAAAACTGGAAATCTTCAAAGAATGAAAAGAAGAGAAATTAATTAAGCAAAACTGGAAAATAATCGAGAATTAATAGATATGAAAAGAAGAGAAATTAATTAAGCATATATATTATAACTAAGAATTAGATTAGTCCCTGCCTTGATGGATTAGTATTGGAAATCTTCAAAACCCAAACAAAACAGAGCAAAACCCATTTTATTCCTATCTTACAGATGGAAGTAATGGCTGGGATCTGGTCGCAGACAATCCTTAGAGGGGACGAGTGGGTCGGTTTGCACAAAATCCCTAAGCAAATCTGAATAATTAACAGTAAACAAAAACAATAAGAGAATCAATAGATCAAAAGATATAAATAAGTTATAGATAATATTATAAGTAACAATAAAGATTAGATATATTTAAACCAAATAAAACCCATATCTCCTATATATCTTACCAACAGCTATGGAGTTTCTTAAAAAAACTGTGGCGCCATGTCTGAGAAGGAATTGAAATGGGAAGGGAAGGAAAAGAGAAGCTTTAAGAAGAAGCAACACAGGGCAACTCCGGCAGTGGGTATATAAAGGAATATATTCGACAGAAATTCTGTCGGTTATAATGTTTAAAAATTTCAGGCCCGCGCGATTCCAATTTTGGCGGACTTTTTTGGCGGACCTATTATAATCAACAGCCAATAAGCTGTCGGTTATAGGTGCTCCACCTCCCAGCTTCCCAACATTTCCCGTGAAACAAATTGATTACATCCCAAGCTGTCACCTGCATTATCCTTAAACACCCAAGGCAATAAGCCAAATGATTGGCCAACACTATTTTCTGTATAAATTGATAATAATGTGCCATTAATATCTAATATTTTTAATTAATATTATATATTGATTAATATAAAGTAAAATATTATATATTTAAGATTAATTAAATCATCATATACACAAAAATATATATACAATGTGACACCCTTAAGATGTTTAATACAATATTCATGATAAGTCAAAAGTAGCTAATCTGCCTCTTTCCTCTTGAATCTAGGCATCCAAAACCACCTATATCAACATAAAACTCCAATGAAGTCTTTTCAACCTTCATTTCGGACAGCATTGGATCCACTTCATCTTGCAAAATCCCAAGAAACAAAGAGAACCTAAGAAGAGAAAATAAACAATATTGAGCATAAATATCTATTAAAATAAATATAATGCAATGATATTAACAAATCTGAAATTTGTAAAGAACACCTATGGTTTAATGGAAAACTATAAGCAATG